CCCTCTCCCCCTCCCTCCTTTCCCTCTCCCCCTGCCTCTTTTCCCTCCCCCTCTCTCCTTTTGGGTCAGGGTCTCACTCTGTTACCCAGGCTGGAGTGCAGTCCATGATCATGGCTCACCACAGTCTTGACCTCCTGGGCTTAGGCGATCCTCCTGCCTCAGTCTCCCGAGTAGCTGGGACTACAGGTGCCCGCCATCAGACCTGACTATTTTTATTTTTCGTTCAGGTGAAGTCTCGCTATGTTGCCTAGGCTAGTATCGAATTCCTGGGCACAAACAATCGCTTGATTTAGCCTCCCAAAGTGCTGGGATTACAAATGTGAGCCTGACCTTGTATCTTTAAAAAAAAAAAAAAAAAGTTTAACTGTAAAACCCAGGTAGCATGCCTTTAGTTGCACCTACTTGGAAGGCTGAGGCTACAATATGCTCTGATTGCACCTGTGAATAGCTACTACACTCCAACCTGGGCAACATACTGAAACCCCATCTCTCTAAAAAGAAAAAATTTAACTGTGCAAGATAAAACTGCAAAAGTTTGAGACTATGCTCCTGACCTTTTGATAGGGAGATATTTTAAAAATAAGATAGAAATCCATTAACCATAGAGGAAACATTGGTGAATGTGACTACCTTAAAATTGAGAACTTGTGTTCATTTAAAGACATCCCAAAGAGAATGTAAAAGCAAGCCACAGAGCAGAAGATGAATGGCAGCTTATATAGTGAATAAAGGATTAACACCCAGAACGTATAAAGAATTCCTACAAATAAATAATTTTTTGAAAGATAGACAACCCAGGGGGGGACAAAAGGAACAAATGACTTGAACAGGCACTTTATAAAAATGGTCATCTAAACAGCCAGTAAACATGAATTAGTCATCACAGAAACACAAAGTCAAAATTAGATACTGCTATATACACATCAGAATGGCTAACATTTAAGTCTGACAATATTGAATGTTGGAGAAGATGTGCAGCATAGAGAATTTTCATTCCCTACTGATAAGAATGGAAATTGGCCATCTACTTTGAAAAACAGTTCTTGATGTATAGAACAGGACACATGTACAAGAATGTTCATAGCAGTGTTATTTGCTGTAGACCCAAACTGAAAGCAATTTAAATAGCCATCAAGATGAATGAATAGCTATATTAAGGTATATTCATACTATGGAATACTATACTATACATTGAAGATAAGGAAACTGCTATGTACCACTACATATAACTACCTAGCATGTTATATATTTATTATTTGGTTTATTTGTTTTTACTCTAAAATATAAGCTTTATAAAAGCATAGACTATCTATTTTGTTCACTGCTGTGTCCACAACTTCTCTAATAGCATCTGGTACATAGGAGTATGTAATAGGCACACAAATATATTAGTTGAGTGAAATATTAATGTAGAGATTCTGCTATGAAATATTGAAATCTTTGTATTTTTTGTTGCTGGTCTATATAAATTTAATTGATTTTTATATATTAATCATGTGTTTATTATTATAGTTGTATTTTTGTGAATTTCTTAGAATTGAAAAAATCACATTCTTTAGAAGATTTAGTAAAGTTGAGTCACTAAAGAAAAGTACTATAAATAGTAAAGGTATTGAAAAAAAGTAATGAACATCTGAAGAGATCGTACCCTCAGATTGTTTCTTAAGGGTCTAAGTTCTCATTTTCAATAAATCAAAACTGAAAGTTATAGATATGCTTTTTTGTGTGATGTACATAGAATTATGCATAGCCCAAGGATCCTCTCTCAAAGAAAAGGTGTTACTTGCCTCTCCAACAAAAGATTGACCAGTGAATACATTTTTGTATTTTAAGTTCACATGAAATGTTTAAGATATTATACCTGTATAACATTTTCCACACTTTCCTGCTTTGGCTTTTAAATTATAGTAATTGATATCTCAACCAATCATCAGTCCCATTGAATGAGTTAAGAAGCTTTTACTGTCGTAGAATTTTGCAAGAACAGGAAAAATAAATTATAGCCTAAAAATAAATAAATTCTCAAATTTTGCTATACGTCAGAATCACCTGGGCAGCAGAATGGAAACTTAGACAATTGGAAAGCAATTTGAGCCTGGAATTTGTTTAGATCGTTTTAACAAGCTTCCCAAGTTTGAAAACCACTGTCCAGAGTATTACTTGTACAGATATATGTTGAGAACCATGATATTCAGAGGAAGTGTTCAAGATGATCATTTGGATTTAGAAAGAAAATTTAGACCTTCTTAGTTTTATTTATATCATTGTTTAATTTGCATTTTTGTCTTCCGGTATATCCTATTAATACAATAATACATATAAATAATTTACAAATAAGTGTAAACATATTTTTAGGGATGAACCAAATAAGTTTTTTTAGGCAACAGAAACCTCTTTTTATTCTGGTCAAAGTATAATGGAGAGAAAATAGAAAGGCCCAATTGTATTTTTTCTGTAGCTTTAAAAGTTTAAATTTACTTTTCTCCGTACTTCTAAAGACAAAAATTAAATAAGAATCAGGAGCAAATACTGTTCCTGACTAGCATATATTATCCTTTCTTCAGGAAAATAACATTAGTTATCTCTACTCAGATCTTCATTATACTTTTCTAGGGACTAAGTGATAAGTAAAATGAAAGAATTCTGTTAATTCTATAAGTTAACATCTTTAGATTCGCCTTACTTTAAATATGCAGTATTCGTTTTTTAGTTTAAAAGAAAAAACTATTGCTTGGTACTTTATTATGCTGGAAAAAAATCTGAAATTTTCTTATTTTTCCTTCTGAAATAGGTTACATTTCATTTTAATCACTTAGATACATCTTTACAACCTTGAGAAATAAATTGAAAGTCACTTTTTTTTGCATAATCAAAATATAACTACAGGATTTTTTATAATGTGTCATACTGAGCTGTAAACAAAATTGGAAACTGTTGGATATTGATTTTTGTGCTGATTTTCTTTTTCTTAAGTAATACTTTTAAATTTAGTATTAGAATAAGATTTCTAAAGAGTGATATGGATTTCTTTTGTTATTGTTTCTAATCTTATCATGATTAGTGAGACAGTAATTTGTTTTCTAGATTGATGACATTGTAAAAGCTGTTGGTAACTGCAGCTACAACCAACTAGTGGAGAAGATCATCTCTTGTAAGCAGTCAGACAATAGTGAGCTGGTTAGTGAAGGTGGGTGAGTGCTGCTATTACCTGACTTTTGTATTCCTGGAAAAATAACTTGTCTTATAATTTAATATCTTTCAAATTTCTTAAACAAGACTTCTAAAAATTGCAAGTAATACTACTTCTAGGAATTTTTTAAAGTAATCATTCATAAAGGTGCCAGTGAAAGTTATTTTCTAGAACTCTTTTCACTTGACTTGTAAAATCAGGCCTTGGGTTCTAATAAAAATCTTTGGAATCACTTACTAGCTTTGGTATGGCCAATTACCCAGAAGTTACTGATAATTACTCTTTTATAAAAAGGATTACTTGAAAGTACTGAGTGGACTTTATAATTGATTCTGTACACTTCAGTTGACTGAGAAGAGTATTATGGTACTTGAATGTTCTATTTTAGCATACCTCTGCTTAATGTTTCAGTACAATCCAATATACTAAAGCACCATTCTGGATCAGAATATACCTCTGCACGTTCGTTTTTCTAATTCTTAGCTAATTGAACTTCCTAAATTTATCATCACAAAAGCAGTTTAATATTTTTTCAACTGTGTTCCAGTCAATGATGGGAAAAGGAGGTTTGAGAGAGGCCGGATGTGGTGGCTCACATCTCTAATCTCAGCACTTTGGGAGACTGAGTCAGGAGAATTTCTTGAGGCCAGAAGTTTGAGACCAGCTGGGCAACACAGCGAGATATCACCTCTACAAAAAATTAGCCAGGTGTGATGGCATATGCCTGTAGTCCTAACTACTCAGGAGGCTGAGGCAGGAAGATCACTTGAACCCAGGAGTTGGAGGTTGCAGTGAGCTCTGATCACCACTGTACTCCAGCCTGGGCAACAGTGAGACCCTCTCTTTAAAGAAACAAAAACCAGCATGCTTTCAGAAGCCATAGCATTTGGATATACCTTCCCCACCACCTACTTCACTTTTTTATACCCCAAAATACTGAGGCTGCTGTTCTCCCTTCTTTGAAGGGTAAAACAAAAGAAAGAGAAATGAGAAGTAGGATATGAGTTTTATCATTCACTCTCAAACACACAATGTTTTTACATGAGATGTAATAAAAGTTGATTATAATTAGCATATTTTTAAAAATTAAAACTAGAATATATGAGTATATAAAAGATGTGTCTATGAATCTCATGTATTAATTAATTAGAATCCAACTTATTATCCAGAAGTTAGGCCAGGTGCAGTGTTTCACCCTATAATCCCAGCACTTTGGGAGGCCAAGATAGGAGGATTGCTTGAACCCAGGAGTTTGAGATCAACTTGGGCAACTTGGTGAGACCTTATCTCTATAGAAAAGAAAAAAAAACAGCTGGGCATGGTGGCACATACCTGTAATCCCAGCTACTTGATGCAGGAGGATCTCTTGAGCCCAGGAGTCAGAGACTGCGGTAGACATGATTGTGTCACTGCACTCCAGCCTGGGCAATAGAGTGAGATCCTGACTCAAAAAACAAAAACAAAAATTATTTAGAGTTTAACACATTTATGCAAAAGAGACAAATAACAAGAAAACACATAGTATTTTAGTTAAGGTTTATTCTACTTAAAATAAACACATAACCATACAGGGACATTGATCACCGATTTGTATGACAACTCTTTACTGCACCTTAAGCTTAAAATTTATGACAACTCTTTATTGCAACTTAAATTTAAAATTTAGGAGGAAAAGGAATGACCAAAGCTGTTACAAAAATATTTTCTCTCAGTCAACAAAATATCACTCACTAGAATTTTGTATTCCTATCCAAATTTTCATTACCATAGATATATTCCTAAAAAGAAACCTGTTTCTGATATAAGTAGTATTGATAATTTGGGAAAAACATCATGGTAAAAGGAAAGACTCACCCTCCAAAGCAACAGTTCCTAACCTTTTTGGCATCAGGGATGGGTTTCATGGAAGACAATTTTTCTACTGACTAGGGTGGAGGAATGGTTTGGGGATGATTCAATCATATTATATTTATTGTGTACTTTATTTCTATTATTACTAGATTGTAATATGTAATGAAGTAAATTATTATAAAATTATTGAATTATCATTTTGATATGTCTATAAGCAATTGATTTATTACGGTCTCTGTGCAGTCAAACCTCACTGCTAATGTTAATCTGTATTTGCAGTTGCTCCCCAGCACTAGCATCACTGCCTCAGCTCCACCTCAAGTTATCAGGCAATAGATTCTCATAAGGAACTCACAACCTAGGTCTCTCACAATTTGAGAATCTAATGCCGCCACTGATCTGACAGAAGACAGAGCTCAGGCGGTAATGCCAGTGATGGGGAGTGGCTGTTCATATAGATGAAGCTTCACTTGCTTACCTGCTGTGTGACCTAGTTTCTAACAAGCCACGGACTGGTCTGTGGCCTGGAGATTGGGGACCCCTGCTCTAAAGAGGTGTCAAATTTTTAGGTAACATGTAGTAAGCATATTTATTGATTACTTCCTTGATAATTTTATAATGGGTAAAATTCTGCATTTGAGATTTCCACATTAAGGAACTGTATGTAACTTTCAGTATAATTTAAAAAGCTAAACTAGTTTTTTGTTCATAAAAAATTACAAATATGTAGTCTGTTTGAAATTATTATTCAATACTAGTGGTTACTTGTATAAGACATTAAGAAATAATCAGAAAGAAAAATTTGCAGTAAACATTTTTACTTACTTTGGAGCAGTTAGCTTTCCTTCATCATTTTTTCTTCATTATATTATCTTGGATATAGTGCTCAATTGAAGTAGTCTGCTTTCTTTTTCTATTTAACCTACAAATGTTGCTTTCCTTTTGAATCAGTAAAATATCCAAAAGCAGGTTTATTTCTAATCTTTATTAAAGTTTAATTAAAAATTAAACTTTGATCCTGGATGATAGTTGTTTTTTCTTTAATTCAGACATTTCATTTCCTATTGAGGTATGGAGTATAAGAAATACATTCACTAGCATTTCTTTTTTAGGAAAAAGAAATGTTATTTAGCTAATAATCAACTAGAATTATGTATGTTTTCAACTTCTTTTCAATAACATTCATTTTCTTTTGATGCTGTTACCTTATAAGTAAAAGTACAGAATTCTGTTATTTGTTTCCTCTTTTAGGTGTCAATGCCTTTTGAATCTGATTATAATGATGGGTTTAGTATGGCAGCAAAAATCAACAGGGAAAAAAATAATACAGTACTAGCAGCCAAGCTTCACCAGAGCTGGTCATTTAATTCTAGATGCTTTCTCAGGGTTGTTTCTTTACAGTTGTTCCTAGTTTACAGTTTATTTTTATAAAATACATTTATAAAAATAATTCTGGGATATATATCATTATTATTTTTTGAGACAGGGTCTTGCTCTGTTGCTGAGGCTGTAGTGCAGTGGTGCAATCATAGCTCACTGCAGCTTCCATCTCCTGGGCTCAAGTGATCCTCCTGCCTCAGCCTCCCAAGTAACAGGACTACTTGTGTGCACCCCCATGCCTGGCTAACTTTTTAATTTAGTAGAGATGGGATCTTAATCTGTTGCCCAGACTGATCTTAAACTCCTGGGCTCAAGCAATTCTCCTGCCTTATCCTTCCAAAGCACTAGGCTACCAAACATGAGCCACCATGTCCAGTCTTGAATTCACGTTATTTTTTATTAAGTAATATTGGTTTCCTTTTCTTTTTTCTCATAGTTTTATTTGGAAATATCTCAAACCTATAAGAAAAATAATTAGACTAGTGCAGTGAACATTTCTTTGCTTTTAAATTTACTAATTATTAACATATTGAATTTTTCTTTTTTTCTATACTCTTATACACACAGACACACACACACACACACACACACACACACACACACTTTTTTCCTAAATCATGTGAGAATTAGTTGCAAATATAGCATTTTACCTGCAAATGCTTCATAATTTTTCTCCTAAGAACAAGGAGTTCTCCTATACACTTCTTCTATATAATCTCAATGTAATTATCTTAGACAAATTAGCATTAATTCAATAATATTCTCTAATATACTGTGAATATTCAAGATTCTCCAGTTTTCTCAATAATGCTCCTATACTTTTTAAATTATTTCAGTGTAGGCTCCAATCAAAGATCATTTAGTCTCTCATAATCTAGAATAGATCCCTAACCTTTTTACTTGTTTCTTTTTTTTCCCCTTCTTTTCTTTCTTCCTTTATTTCTTCCTTTCCTCCTTCTATTCCTTCCTATCATCTTCCTTCCTTTTCTTCTCTCCCTTCCTCCTCCTCCCCTGCTTTCTCCTTCCTGGAATCCTCTTCTCCTCTCCCTCTCCCTTCTCCCTCCCTCTCCCTTCCCCATCCCTCTCTTTTCCCTTCCCCTCCCCTCCCCTCCCTCCCTCCCTCT